AAGTCAGATCCCAGTTTGGCAATCCTAGGGGACACCAAGTGGGAACAGCCCAAGCTGAGGAAGAGGAAACTCGAGCCGTGTGTCCAATTGCTTCCTGGCCCTTCTGTCCATCACGACGGCGCGACACAGCGCGTCAGCACAAACCTCTTGGTTTGTAATTGCAATCGCTGACTGATCCGGGCTGTGCTCAATACTGCGTGCTCAGCTTGATACCAAGGCCCTGCAAGGAAGCTGTGAGTAAAGCACTTCTGATCTTGGACCAAAGATGCTAACAGCCCTCCCCCACTTCGTTCAACGAACTTAGTGGAATTTCACAGCAATTCTCCACTCATGGATCAGGATTACATAAATCACTACTTAACTATAATGGCTTAAATTCTCCACTCAGATGAAAAGCGCGATGATGATTCTGAAATCATCTCCTTCTCCATTAATTAATCAACACTTTCCTCTTTTACGGCCGTGCAGCTGCTATTCTCAGCTCGGTCTCCAATGCAATACTTCCATTACACACAAGAAAACAAACCAATAACAACACTTAACCAACAGGCTGAGAAAGCAGTAAGCAGGAAAACTGGGCTGACCAGACCACAGTCACACCTAAGGGAAAAAAAAATCACTCGTGTATTTTTCTCTGCCATTCTTCAAGAAGGGAGCTCCCAAATCAGCTCGGCCATCGATGCAAAGTAACGAAACCTGCACCTGAGAAACAACATATGTGCTTTGCTTTCACTGACTCAACTCAAGCACTGGTTTTTCTTTTTCTTTTTTTGCTTTTTCTCTCCTTACTGCAAGTGGAATTACTTTTCCTGACCACTGGGAAGACTCCCTGGCCGTTAGATAAAGAGACATCATTATTGTAAGCGTCTTGGCAATTTAATAATTTTATTTTAAATATACTGTAACAAGGTTTCCTGTTACCACACGACTCCAGGGGGCCATCTGTGCCATAGGAGTCATGCTGAACACATCCCGCTTGCCAACCTCGAAGAGCTTCGCAGCCGTCATAAACGTGTTTCTCCCTCATCGGCTTTGCCAGTCAGTGACGATACGGAATTAAACAGCGCTCCTATGATCATTTTTTGGTCTTGAAGGTCCCCAGGATTTTGGGCATGAACTTTCCCATCTTCTTGTCCTTGGCGTCCGCGTCGTACTCCTCCTCGCTCTGACTCGTATGCTCATCCTTTTTGCAGAAGACCTCAAACCTGCTGTACACCCTCTTTTCCTTCCGCATGTTCTCCATCTTTTTCAGCAGCGTGTCTCTGTCCTCCGACGGCTGCCGCTGAACGTTTCGCTTCTGGCTCCCAAAGCTCTCCGACCTGTGGATGTTGCAGCTTTTCTCCTTCTCGGCTTTCCTTTCCAAGCTCATAGTTGACTTAGAAAGGTCGGGATTGCTGGTGGATGGCAGCTGCTTGGCCAGTTCAGCTCTGTTCTTCTGGCTGTTGGCAGAGATTTGTTCCAAAATCACCTTGGTGTCATCACGGAGATTGCTGCTGTACAGAATGTTGGCTGTGGATGAAGGAAATCGGCCCTGCGTCGGTTGGCTGCTTTTGGGAGGAAGCGGCGTTGCAAATTTATGGTTTTTTTCTTCCTCCACCACCATTTCCTGACAGTCGCCTATGGAAGATCTTTTGAGACCCATGGGCTGTTTGTCAGACTTTCCGACCTCGCAACTGGGTTCCTCCTCCAGTTTCTTTTCACCTTTCGGGTTCAGAAACTGCTTCAGCCGCAGGGATCCTTTCCTTAAAAACTCCATCGTGTTTTGTTCCTGTTTTGAGCACTCTTCCTCGGATTTATTGAGGGAGCTGTCAGATCCTGGACCTTTAGACAGGTTTTCGATGACTGATGTGGTGCCCGTCCTCCCCTGTGGTTTCTTCAGTTCTGCACTGACCAATTTTTCAGCGTCTTCCTTGAACGTCACTCGTTCCTTCTTTTCTGGAAGAGCCAATTTCTGAGTATCTCCTACAAATATAAGGCTCTCCTTTTCTGGAAGAGCGGGTTTATTCTCTATAGGGTAAAACCGAGATGACAGTTTGTCCACTTTAGCGCCCAGGTGTGCTAAGGGATCTTTACCCAAAGCATCAATGAGCTGCGGCGCCGACGAAGCCATTCCAAACGCTCTGTCAGTCTCTCCGTGCATCTTGTAAGTACTGCAGGAGTCTTTGGACTCCAATACTCTACTCTCCAGAATCTTGTATTGCACGGATTTGGTACATTTCTTCTCCGTGTTCTGTGATTCCTCCTGGAGAAAACTGGAAACGGCTTTGGTGTGAGTGACTGTAGCTCGCTCGGCGTCTTTGCCCACAGCTTTGTACTTCTCTAAAAGTTCCGCCACTTTCGACGAGGTGGCCGTCTTTATGGTTTCATTGTCCTTTGTCAGTTCGTTGGACACTTGTTCCTTGTGGATCATCTGAACCTTCTCTACTGTTGCGTTAGGCTGATCTAACTTGGCAGCGTTGAAAATCAGAGAGGACCTGAGTCTGGAGCTCCTCTGGATCAAGGGATTTATTCTGGACCTAAAGGCGTCTTGTTTCATCAGAGGTGTTTCTTCACCTCCTCTTTCAGGATCCGCAAATTCTTTGGCGTTTTCAACCCCCAGTGACTTGCTATTAAAAGACACGGGGGATTTGAATGCTGGGATGAGGTCAGTGGGGTGCTTTGCGAGGGGATCCCCAAGAACATCATTATAGGCTTCCGATTCCATGGGCATCGGGAGACCTTCTTCTGGTTCCGACTGGTACGCGCTGAGGTACGAAGAAATCCTCCAGTTGCGTAAACCTGTTCTATTTTCCTGAGTGTTCTTGTCCTGATCTTGGTCCTCGTCTTTGTCTTGTAAGAACAGGCGCTGTTCCAGGCTTTGCTTCTGCGTAGGAGAAGTCTGGCAAATAAACTTCTGTCCTATATTCTGCCGTCTCAGCATCATTCCCATCGGGCCGTTGCCTGCAGGGTTCAGCTGATCAGAGCCATGTCTCACTTCCCTGGAAGAATTCGAAGGCACGTAATCCAGCCTTAAGGGGAAACCCTCCTGTGGGAAACCGGATTCAAGTTCGGGGTATCTGGGTCCCTCTCCATAGGGAAGAGGCCCTCCCTCTTCCAATTCATTGAATCCTGGCCTCCCACCTCGTATTCTGTCAAAGAATCCCTGGGGTCTGCCAGAAAGGTGGGGGTGTTCAAACTGGTACTGGTAGAACTGATCCTTCTGAAAATGACTGGACTGGATTTTAAATTCGTCCATGTTGTTCATGAACATCTGCCTGGCATATTGCTTAGAAGAAGCAAAATTTTCAAACGTTCCTTCTGCAAAACTGTGTCTCTTAAAAGCATCCAACTCCAGCTGCTTGGAACGGAGAAAACCCCTGACGGGATCCATCTGAGCATTCTCCATCTCCACCTTTTTGTACATTCGCATGGCTGACCCCTCCACGGTATGGCGCAACAAATCATCGCGCCGGAAGTTGGACAGGAAGTACCGGTCTGGATCAACTCTGTCCATGAAGGAGGGAAAAAGGTTGTCGTCCCTCTGGAACATGAGGGGTGCTTTTTTAGGAAAGAACGGCATGTTGTTGCCGAAGGGAGTCATGGCAAAGGGGTTCTCTGCCTTTGCCAAGACGTTGGCTGGAGGAACGAGAGGTTCTGACTGTGCGAACAAAATTCGGAACTCTTCATCGAAGCTGGCCACCAGCTCGCCCTGGAAGATGTGTGCAATGCTCCTGTGAATCTTCTCAAAAGACCACATGAAACTACAAAGAGAAGCAAAGATAGTGTCAGCATCAAGAAACTGCGCTGCACTACTCCGTGTTCCACCGTTTGCTCGTCTGAAGAAATTCATCCTGACTTTCAGCACTGGCACAGGTTGCCCAAGGAGGCTGTGGATGCCCCATCCCTGCAGGCATTGGAGGCCAGGCTGGATGTGGCTCTGGGCAGCCTGGGCTGCAGGTTGGCGACCTGCACACAGCAGGGGGTTGGAACTGAATTATCATTATGGTCCTTTTCAACCCAGGCCATTCTAGGATTCTATGATTCTAGGATTCTATGATCCTATGAGCATAGTATAGTCATTAATAAAGAAAACATGGGAAATGGGTAATTCCATACATCTAACTTGCACTTGAAACATAAACACATACTCCTGGGTCTCTTTTAACTGTTCTGGTTTGGACCGGGTTGTTTGGTTAGGTTTGGTGACACTTCTTTTGAGTTGGGTTTAACACTTCCTCGCTCGGAGCAGCTGAAACTGCATTACCCAGCAAACAAACAGTCTATTATTCAGTGACACCGGTGTGGGGGGCAGCATGGCGAGGCCGGACTCTGTTCAGTGGGGAGTGGAGGCAGGACGAGGGGAAACGGCCGGAAATGCAGCATAGGAAGTTGTGCAGCAATGTGCGAAGGAACGGCTGTGCAGTGAGGGGAGGAGCAATGGAACAGGGTGCAGGGAGGGGGGGAGTCTGTGGGTCCCAGTGTGTCTCTATGGGTCCCAACGTGTCTCTATGGGTCCCAGTGTGTCTCTATGGGTCCCAACGTGTCTCTATGGGTCACAATGTGTCTCTATGGGTCCAAATGTGTCTCTATGGGTCCCAACGTGTCTCTATGGGTCCCAATGTGTCTCTATGGGTCCCAACGTGTCTCTATGGGTCCAAATGTGTCTCTATGGGTCCCAACGTGTCTCTATGGGTCCCCACATGTCTCTATGGTTCCCAATGTGTCTCTATGGGTCCCAATGTGTCTCTATGGTTCCCAATGTGTCTCTATGGGTCCCAATGGGTCTCTATGGGTCTCTATGGGTCCCAATGGGTCCCAACGTGTCTCTATGGGTCCCAACGTGTCTCTATGGTCCCACTGTTCACTGCAGCAGGCTGCCCATGGAGGTGGTGGAGTCTCCTGCTCTGCAGATGTTCCAGACCTGGATGCCGACCTGTGCGACCTGCTGTAGGAACGGCTTTGGCAGGGGGTTGGACTCCATGAGCTCTGCAGCTCCCTTCCAACCCCTACAATTCTGTGATTCTGTGATTCTATGATTAGCAGCACAGGGCTTCTCACCTGTAGTTGCCACTCAGCACCACCATGCAGTCCACCAGGAGGAATTTCTCCTTCACGTGTCCTTTGAAAGACATCCCCGTGCGGCAGTAGTAGGTTGGGCCAGAAACTGTTCTCACCCTTAGGAACTGCAAACCAGACAAGGCTGTTACTTCCCCTTCCCCTCTTTTTTCCCCTTACTCTCTTAACGTCCCTCCTGCCGCCATTCTTCCACTCCAGCACTAGCCGTTCTGTCTGCGTGCGCAGTGGATAAGCCACCCTTTTTATCAGAGTGTCCTTTGCCTTCAGGCCTACACTGTGCCAGGTCTCCTGGCTTCACATGTGTATTTCTCTCTTCTCTGGCCCTGGTTTCCCCTTTCTCAGGTTCTTACTGTAAGAACAGCCCAACGTGCCCTAGAGGTACCTCTCTCAGGATGGGAATTGCGGGTCGGGTTGGTCTTTGGTTTGCTCACCTCCACATAGTTCAGATTGACTCTGCATTTAGCAGCTGTATCAAGGAAAAGCTGAGAGTTCATTTCATCGAGCAAGATGTACACGGGGACTCTGCGAGCAGCAGCATCCAGCACTTCAAACAGCAGATCCACGTCAGTGAAAATGTCCATGACTATGGCTACCACCTAGGAAAAGAACACAGGGAAGTCTTCAGAGATCTGTGCCTGCCTGCGGCCGCCCTGCTCGTGTTCCCCAGCACACAGCATTCCAAAGCTGCACTGTTAAACTGACTCCATTTCAATTTCCTATTCAGTGGGCTCCAGAACTGGAAATAGGTTTCCTATCTGACGCGCGCATCGTGGACGTGAGCTGCAAAGTGAGCGAGGATCCTCACTGTCGCTGATCATTCCCTTATTCCTCATTAGCCCAGTGCTCACAGCAGGCATTTTTTGGTCACAGAACCACAGTGGCAGGTATCACTGACCTGCCTGGCCTCTACCCCCTCACTCCCTCCAGCACATTTGTCATTTTTAAATACATTCCTGGCCAACGTTGAGTCAGCCACTGCAGAACCGCCTCTAGATGTCGCCAGTACCTTCTGAAGTAGCTTTTAATTGCAGCTTTGACAGTAGCTCCAGAAAACAAGGCATACGAGTGTCAGCTGGGGGATCCGGGGCTGCTTAATCCGGAGGGAAACCCCTCATCTCTCCACAACTACCTGAAATGATCCCGTGGTTCAAAGCTCTGTAGGATTTCCCTGTTCTCCCCAGCTCTTATCAGCATATAACAATACTCCCTGGTGGGAAGGAGTAATGAAGATGCAGCGAAACTCATCTCAGCGTTACCCACTGAAAAGCCACAATGGGCACACATTGAAAGGTGGGACGTTGCACTTGGACAGAAGAGAAACTTCTTACTGCAAGGGTGACGAAAGATTAGCAACAGGGTGCCCAGAAAGACAGCAGCCTCCACTCCTGGAGACACTGGAGGAAAAGCCCTCAGTAACCTTCTCTAATTGACTCTGACTGAGCAGAGAGGCTGGACTGGACGAGCTCCAGAGGCCCCTTTCTGACCTCGGCTGCTCTGTGATTCTCTGAACTCTTGGTGTACTTCACTGTGGCCTTACACAGTTCTTCTCGAGCCCAGAGAACAGAGGCCAGCTTTGATGAAATAAACAGCTTCAGAACCAACCTCCTTCTCTGTCAGGTCCCAGAGAACATTAAGGAGCCCAGCAGAGGATACGATGCGTCCTCTCACATGCTTACGGTCTCTCTCTGCTCTCAGACTCCCTGACGTCTCACCTGCTGAGCAGCTCGAATCATCCTGCGAGCCTCTTCCTTGATGCTGGGGTTGTCGGGGGGCGGCGGTTGCACCAGGGTTGTTACTTCTGTTCCCCTGAACCCAAAGACCATGGGCCAGCCCAGGTCGAGCTCCGGAACGGCGAGGTCTGAGTTCATGGGCCAGTACGTCCCGGAGGATCCATCCACATCGTTGTCCCCCGCCGTGTCTGTGTTACCTTCCTGATTGGCATACTGGGGCTTCTGAAGGTTCTGTAAGATGTGATCCACCTCCGAGTTGCAAAGGAAATCGGGGGCTGCCTCCTCTGCCAGAAAGCGTTCGTAACTTTCTTTGCCCTCTTCGGTGAGTATATCCAGAGCCAGGCGGTAATACTCCTTGTAGTGGGGGGGAAGGTAGTTAGGGTCAAGCGGGTTGTCCCCCTGCGAGGAGCTTTGAGATCGGCGAGCCATGGGGGTAGGGAGAGCTGTAGGAAGAGAAGAGCCAACAGTGACAATGGTCAGAGCCACGGCAGCAGGCCCACTTCAGTGACACAACCGTCCTCACAAATGGTGAAAGCTCAGGGGCCACAATGGCAAAATCAGAAGAGAAGAGAATGCTGGGGAATCGGAAGGGAGCTCAGGGATCATCAGGTTCCAGCCTTGCTGCCACAGGCAGGATTGCCAACCACTAGATCAAATAGTAGCACAGGGTGCCCAGGACCCCATCCAACCCCATCAACCCCATCCAGCCCCATCCAACCCCATCCAACCCCATCAACCCCATCAACCCCGTCCAGCCCCATCCAACCCCATCCAGCCCCATGAACCCGGCCTTGAACACCTCCAGGGATGGATGGGGCATCCGTAGCCTCTGGGCAATCTGTTCCAGCACCTCAACACCTCAGTGAAAAAATTCCCCAACACCTACCCTAAATCTTCCTTCCTTCAGTTTAAAACCATTCTCTCTTGTCCTGTCACTATCTACCCTTGTATAAAGCTCTTGTTTATGATCTCCCTCAACATACTGAAAGGCCATAGTGAGGTCACCCCGCAGCCTTCTCTTCTCCAGGCTGTACAATCACAGAATCACTGAATCACAGACTCACAGAATCACAGGGGTTGGAAAGGACCTCCAGAGACCATCGAGTCCAACTCCCCCACCAAAGCAGTTCCCTACACCAGGTACAAGCCCATTTCCTTCAGACTGTCATCACAGTAGAGGTGCTCCAGCCCTCTGACCACCTTTGTGGCCCTCCTCTGGACCCTCTCCAAAACCTCCTTATCTTTCCTATTTTGGGGACCTCAGACCTGGATGCAATCCTCCATCTGGGGCCTCAGGAGGGCAGAGCAGAGAGGCACCGTCACCTCCTTTGCTCTGCTGGCCACTTTTCTGATGCAGCCTGGGATATTATCGACCTTCCAGGATGCAGGCACACAAGGCTGGCTCACTTTTTTATCTGCCAGGACCTCTCAGTCCTTCTCAGCAGGGCTACTCTCGAGGAGTTCTTCTTCCAATCTGTATCCGTATCTGGGATTATGGATACAGATGGATATGGATATATTTGGGGGCAAAATCAGAAACAAATCAATGAGGGCATTGCAGTGATGAACAAAAACGATGCGTGGGCATCCAGGCCAGAGATTGCTCAAAGCTAAGCTAACATTTGTCTTTTATTTTAATCTTCTAATTTTTTTTTTTTTCTGAAAAAACTGTGCTGCTGGTTATTATCTGAACGCCACTGAAGCTCATTTCCAAATGCAAAATAATAATAATGATAATAATTAAAAAATGACTGTGCATAATAGAGTAGGCAGTGCAAACGCACGTGCAGGTCTACAAATGCCCCCACCGAATCCTTAGAAACTGTTTTAACATCACCTCAGTGTGGGAAGAGAAGCACGGCCATAAGTGGAATGCAGGCAAGTTTAAGGGCACCACACTGCTGTGTGCTCACGAGTTCTCATGAGAGCCATGAAGAAATAAAGGCAAGGGCAGGATTCTTCTCCATTCTCCTGGAGTTGAGGTTGGGAAAACCCAGGCTGATTGATTTGGTGTGAGGCCTGCAGGGAAGCTATTGCTCCAGACTCGAGGCAAACCTGATTTTAAGCAGATTTTGAAAGGAAAGTTGATCGTGGCAGAAAAGCAACTCACGTAACGGGATCCCGCTGATCTGAAGAGAGCTCCAAAGCTCTCTGGCTTCCTACCCTGCACTATAATGCTTCCATCACTGACATCCACAGAGCCTTCCTCGTTGTTAGAAGAAAAGAGCTTGGCAGTCCTTGACCGCTTGCGTCAAGCTGCCTTCATAGGGATGCTGAGCACAGAGGGTGGAAGGAGCTCCTGTTTTCGGTAGCATTCAATACAGAAATGATTGCCGTGGTTGCGGGAGGAAGAGAAAGAGGCTTCAGGACCGTCCTGTAAAATGGGGAGCACTACATACCTCCCTTTTGCTGTGCTCAGGTCTCCTCACCCGCTCTTGGCTGTGCTAAAGTGTCTCAACCCCTCATTTCAAGGAAATGCTCTCAGGGTTCAACGGCTTTCTTGGACTGAAGGCCTTTCCTGGATTCACAGACTTCCCAAACCAGCCCACAACATCAAAGCAATGGAATCACAAACACTTCATACAGCACCATCCTCACTTTTCTTCTCTTCTTTGACATTCCCCACTTTGGTGACACAAAATCCTCAGTCACCCCATTCTGCTGGGACGTCACGCAGGACCCCGCGCCCCCTGGAGCTCCGCAGCTCCGCAGGAGTCCTGGGCTGTGCTGGAGGCCACGCTGTCCAACCTATCCAGAATAATCCATAAAGGGGGGACAGTCGTGCAGGTGAAATGCCTGGTAATGCTGGCTTGAGCTGAACGGAAACTGCGAAGACAAAGGAGGCAGAGAAAACAGAGGAGCCTCACGATATTGACTTGACAGTAAAAATGGCAAGGAGAATTGAATGCTGATAAAGCGATCGAGCAACCTTAATTCTGTATTATGGCAATGAATATTTCAGTGCTGTCATAAACCAAGAAGGCAAAAAAATGGATATTAAAAGGAGAAATGTCAGCTAATCTGAAACTTTATTTATTAAAGAATACGGGTTTAGAGGGAACTTAAACCTGGACATGCTGCAAATGTGAAAGGCTCATCCTCACATCTAAGAAGGCTGTTATGAACGCCAAGTACAAATCTTTAGCCTGGAGAAGAGGTCCATACAGTGTGAGCAGGACAGATGGCTGTTTTCTCCTTACAAGAACTGAAAGGTTCTGAAAGCTCGTTTCAAATGAAACGAGCAGGCAGTGGGTTTCAGACTGGACAGCAGGAAAGCTTTCTCAAGCTCTTCCTGCGCAGAATGCCTTCCCAAAGGATGCTTTAGCTACTGATACATTGCAAGCGTTCAGAAAGCAAGTGGGCACCTCCACAGATGGAAAGAAAATCCTCTGAAGCCATTAAAGGTATCGCTGCAGAGCACAAGAATCTCTGGGGAAGTATTGCCACTCTTCCCTATGCATCCCTGCTCGCCACACTTGGTAAGGAAATACCAAATTGATATCATAGAACCACAGAACGGCCTGGATTGAAAAGGACCACAGCACTCATCTCAGCCTCTGACCGTCAGTCTGATGGGAGGCACTGCTTCTCGTCTGGCTTTGGCTGTTCTGTCACTTCCAGCATCACTGCATCCTAGGATGAAGAACTGTTTTCACTTCAACGCAGCACCCAGCTACACTGAACGCACGTATGGGTCTACCTACACCTCTGAGTCTCATCCCAATGCAACTCACATTTCACCAGGATTTACAGTTCCCGATTGCTGACAAAGGCCAAGTGTCTCTGAGTCAAGAACTAATTAATGAATAAAATAGTTTCAGACAGGTCTTTTCCAAACTAAATTCCCACTAATGACTAAACTGCAGAGCGAAAAAAACAGTTGGATTCATCCCCATGCAAATCGCGAGCCGCTGCTATTAGCAATTCTGCCTCTCATAAACGGTGGGTGTGTAAGTTGGCACTTCCATAAGGAGGTCAGCTCACCGGTGAGCCATGTGTGCATCACAGCAGCCGCTGCGTGAAGCTCAAGCTGATAAGCACTGCTGGACATCCGTGCAGGGGGAAATGGGTACATGAGGCAGGGAAACAAATATCCAGGTGAGGATGAAGGATGACGATGGCACACGGTTTGGCTGTAAGCGTGGTATCGATGCTGGTGCTGCAGTGGCTGAAGTGGCAGTGGGGGGGGGGTAAGGAGGGGGCAATGGCAGCAGGAGACGGCAATGCTGCCTGGATGAGGGGATGCCAGCTGAATAGTTGCAGTCTGGGGAGGGGAGAGAGTGCCGACAGCTGGACAAAAGGACAGAATCACAGAATTGTAGGGGTTGGAAGGGAGCTCCAGAGCTCATCGAGTCCAACCTCCTGCCCAAGCAGTTCCTACACCAGGTTGCACAGGTCGGCATCCAGGCAGGTCTTGAACATCTCCAGAGCAGGAGACTCCACCACCTCCCTGCAGCCTGTTCCAGTGCTCCATCACCTCACTGTACAGAAGTTCCTTCACACATTGGTGCAGAACTTCCTATGCTGCAGTTTCTGGCCGTTTCCCCTTGTCCTGTCTCCACTCACCACTGAAAAGAGTCATGCCCCATGAAAAGGACATGCTCCTCTTCCTGAGAGCCACCCTGCAGGGAACGACTGGGGGTCCTGGTGGACGGGAAGCTGGATGTGAGCCAGCAGTGAGCGCCTGCAGTCCGGAAGGCCAACCGTGTTCTGTGCTGCACTGAAAAAGGGGTGGCCAGAGGGACAGAAAGATGATTGTCAGGTGTTTGTTCCCCTCTAGACAGCTCTTGTGAGGCCCCGTCTACAGGGATCCTTGAGGTCCCTTCCAACCTGGGCCATTCTGTGATTCTGTTGTGGATGCCCCATCCCTGCAGGCATTGGAGGCCAGGCTGGATGTGGCTCTGGGCAGCCTGGGCTGCTGGTTGGCGACCTGCACACAGCAGGGGTTGCAACCAGGTGAGCGCTGAGCTCCTGTGCAACCCAGGCCATTCTATGAGGGAAACTGCCTGCTTTCTCCAAGTGTCTATACTGGTCAGCACTAAGATTCGCGGGGCCCCTGTATCTCTGGTGGGCAACAAGAAGTGCCTGAGGAGGCAGCTGTGAGCAGGAAGGACAGGCAATGCTTTGTCAGAACCCTTTCCCACTCTCTAACCATCTGTGGCTGGAAAGGCAGGGCAGGAAATAAAGGAAGGCTGAGCAGGGCTGTGTTTGCAATGGAGGAAGCCGCTGAAGTCACCTCAGGCCTTCTGGTTGCCAATATGAAACAGCAAGAAGTGAACAACTGAAGAAGTGCATTTCTGAAAATGCAAAATCGTATTCATGTTCTTCTTTAAGTCTTTGGCTTAAGCCAAACACAGAGCTGGAGGAATTCCTGTGGGATTGAATACAGAGATCACAGCTGAGGTAGGACAGCAGCCCAGGAGGGTTTGGAAGGAGGCTGATGAGACAAACAGGGACAGACATCTGCACCCAGTTGTGCTGCCGCAGCAAAAACAGCCTTGCAGGAGGGCGTTGGCTCCGCACATACGTGTTGGAAGCTGTCATTTCTCTGCGTGCACTTTAAGGAGTGTCAGCTTAGGCTGGGAAAGCCACGGGGTGCCTGCTGGGCTCTGTGGGCTGGGCCCAGGGTGCGGTGCGGCCGCAGGGCAGGCAGCGAGCAGGTTTGTCAGCACAGTCTGGGACGTCGAGCGGCCATCGGCCGTCCTGCTGCTCAGCACACGGCATCACCCCCCCCCCCCCCGGCAGCAGGGCAGGCAGATCGGTGCTGACCTCAGGGATGGGAGCTGTGGGGCTGAGGTGGGGCCGGGGAGGAAGGGAGGCGGTTCCCCCACGTCACCTTTACCTGTGAAAACAGAGCCAGAGGGCTGCAGCAAACACCCGAACTGGATCGCACCGAACTCCGGTCCTGCGGCCGAGTAACCGGGCTGGAAAATCTGCACCGTCACCCTGCTGGGCTATGGGGTGAGAAGTGGGGAGGGAGATGCCGCGTCCTCTTCCAGGCAGCTCCTTCTCGGAAGGCAGTGCTGAGGAAGCACCATCAGACCCTGCGTGCGGAGCAGCCGCCGTCTGCCGAGCGTGCCATTGCTGTGCCTGCCTGCTAAGGCTCTGCCATTCAGCTCCGAGCGTCCTTCAGGTGCTGCCGGTATCTTCAAAAGCAGAGGCACAAGTCTGAGAACTGTGGAGAAAAAAAAAAAACAAACAACAAACACAACAGAAGTAATGGATCCTCTGCTATGAATGCTTTTTTGCATCAGAAACAGTGTTGCACGCAGGAGCAGAGAGGTGATTGTTCCCCTGTACTCAGCTCTGGTGAGGCCGCACCTCGACTCCTCGATTGAGGAAGTATTACTTGTCAGAAAGGGTGGTCAGGCACTGGAACGGACTGCCCAGGGAGGTGATGGAGTCACCGACCCTGGGGGTGTTCAAGGAAAGGCTGGATGTTGTGTTGAGGGACATGGTTTAGTAGGAGCTATTGGGAATAAGCGAACGGTTGGACTGGGTGATCTTTTAGGTCTTTTCCAACCTTGGTGATTCTATGATTCTATGAGTGCTGTGTCCAGTTTTGGGCCCCTCACTGCAGGAAAGATATTGAGGCCCTGGAACGTGTTCATAGGAGGGCAATGAAATGGTGAGGGGTCTGGAGCACAGGGCTGATGAGGAGAGGCTGAAGGAGCTGGGAATGTTCAGCCTGGAGAAGAGGAGCTCAGGGCAGAGCTCACTGCACT